GTAAAGATTTACAGCCTCCGAAACCCTGTTCACGGTCGCTATGGGTCAGAACCGATTCAATGGCACTTAACAACAACAACAATAACTATTATTATTATTATTTTATTATTACTGTAATTATCCAGTTACCTAAATGTATCTTAAATGTATTGTTATTAAATCACTTTTAATTTATTCTTTAGAATTTTATTCAGTGTTCTATACAACATGAACAGTATTCTCTCATTTGTTTGCCTTTTGCTTCAAAGGCTTATTGCAGAAATGAGGTGAGATCTTAAAAATAAGTATAAATGCGTTAAAAAAATACGAAAAAAATCAACTTACAAATTATATTTCTTAAGGAATTCTCAACCAGTATTTGTACTTATAGCATTATCTCTACCCTGTGGACTTTAACATCTACCGTACACCCTTATGTTGAGCACTTAGAATTGGTAATTTCGTCAATGCCCTTATTACACATTTTCTTTTACTGATACTAAATTATCTGAGACATAAAGGTTGTGACTATTTTTCTACTTTAAATCAATGTAAATAGGAGAACATTGTGCTCATGTAATATCTGTTAAGTGCTCTCAGTCACTTCTGACTTGGTGATACTGTAAAGGGTTTCTAAGAATCAGCTGGTGAGTTTGAACTGTCGACATTATGCTTCATAGTCCAGTGCATAGAAAATGAAAGAATCACTCTAAAAGAAAAGAATTAATACTTGCAATAGTATGAAACAGTCAGAACTATACATATTACTTTAGGAATGACAGTATTTATTTTAAAAGACATAAAAACAATTTGCTCTAGCTTTTAGTTGCTGCCAAGTCAGTGCCGGGTCTAGCACCATCCTCACAATCATGATTTTTCCAACCACTGTTGCAACCACTGTGTCAGTTCATTGGCTGAGTGTCTTCTGTTTCTGTCCACTGTCTGCAAATATGATGTCTTTATCCTCGGTCTGATCCTTGCTGACAATTTATCCAAAGTACTAAGACAAGTCTAGCCTTCCTTCATTTTCAGGAGCATTCTGGTAATTTCTTTCCAGAACAAATTTATTTGTTTTTATTTTTATTTTATTGTACTTTATGGTACATTCAGTATTCTTTGGCAGCATTGTAATTTAAAGGTAGCAGTTAATTTTATATTTTCTGTATTAATTATCCAGCTATCACAGACTAATGGGATGATTGAAAATATCATGGCTTAAGTTAAGTTTATCTCACTTCACAAAATAATAACAACTGTGCTTTTAAACAATTTAAATAAGTCATTTTTAATGATTCCGCCCAATGCAATAAGTTCCTTGATTTCTGGACTGC